AGCATATAGTGTTGGAAGTTGCAAAATACTTTTGCCAGTCAGGAGGATAAGGATTTTCGCCTAAATGTAGGGGGAAGGAGCTTCGAGGCGGCTACCTTCAATCCTTTGCGGCAAAGTCCACCAGCCTACGGCAGTGTTGCGAGCGCACACCAACAGCGCCAGCGACTGGGAAAATATAAATATCGGTCTGCTAACGCCAGCATCTACAGTACCTACGTACAGTAGAATCTAGGAGTGGAGACTATGGGGAAGCAGGGCGGTAGCAGGCAGCTGAGAGAAGCCTTGTGGCCTTGTGAAATTGCGGCATGTGCAAGGGCACCGCAGAACTGCTAAATCGGAGAATTGTGCAACCTTAATGTGGTGCGGTAGAACACGCCGCAATTTCACGACGCCCAATCCAGCTGCTTGCTTCCCTCCTACTTCCCCATAGCCTACACTCGTAGATGCAGCTGTACGCTGGCAAACGGTGGTGAACATTGGTGGACGTTGGCCTTCGCTAGATCGATATCTATACTTTCCTAGTCGTTGGCGCTGGCGTCCGCTCGAAACGCAGGTGCACGCTGGTGGACGGTGTCGCGAAGTATGACGCAGCCTATACCTATCTATAAGAGGGCGCAGACAAGGATATAAAGCGAAGCGTAATTGTGCATCCGCGTGGCAGTATCCGACTACCTTTGCCCCTTTACTGTTGCAATCTTAATTGGACTTATTGGAAAAATCGACATCTTCCAGCATTGTTGGACGTACTGATCTTGTCATAGCAATGTATTATGCTCCGTGGAGTTTTCATTCCCGACAATTGAAACACCCGTTTGAAGTGGTGGCATTAGTATTACGGAATCACAGAAATGTAAGTTTATATAATTTTGAAGTGATCTATGTGAGAAATATTGCTCGTTTATGCCTTTCGAATTCATTGGCTGCTACTAGGGTATCTTCTAGATACGGTTTGTAGCTGTTAACTGTTGGACAACTGCAGGAGAATGCCGCGGTTTGTACAAAATTTATCAGTTCCCATTGATAGTTGCTTATTCGTCTAGAGTTCATACTGTCTATCAAGGAGAGCACTCAGTGGACCATATTTACAGGTTTGTTTCTTCCTTTATTCATAGACGGGATTCAAGATGGTGTTCAATCGTTGAAATCCCGCGTTTTCTTCGATATTTTCGAAATCTGCATTTTATTTGTGTAATTTAGATAAACTACTTTTGCCAGTTATAGAGTGAGGGGGAGGTGGTGTAGTGGCAGGCACACTCAAAACGCGCGCGGACTGCGCGATCAAATCCGACTCGTCTTCCGCTAGTCAAGCTTTGTACCCTTTGGGGACGGTGAATTGGTCCAGATTCGATTGGGAGGTTAGGAACATTGACCTGGATATCGGCTGGCCCGCGCAAGTCACTGTATCCACATTCAATAAGTCGCTACGATCCCAAGGGAAGCAGAATAGGTCAGATCTCTAGAAAGTGTTGATCAACGGAGGCTTTATCTTTTTATGCTTTTGTCCCAAAAATGCTTAATTATGGGCAAAAGTCTTTACCGTAAGCGCGAATGAAAGTATTTTATATGTTATATTATCATCATTCACAATTATGTTCTGAATTAGATTTCAAGTTTCATACAGTTATTCTCTGGTCGGTTACTGCTTTTCTTCCTATCCGAGCAGCAGTTTTCCAGGGTAACAATAAGTTGCAACAATTTCAGATGGGTGGTAAATGTAAGGAACCCCGTAAGTATGATTCAGTCGAAGGAGCAACTGGAGAAAATGAAACGAGACTTCCACACCTTAGTAGTTGGCTATTTCCCTTTCAAGGTTTGTGGAATACTTATTGATCTTACAGTCTTGTTCTTGTATATATTCTGTGTCACCTTGTATAGTTCTGCAGGACATGATCACTCCTTCTGGATACCGTGCTTTTGCTGCTGCTGGAATGATGCTACAAACTGGCATAATAGGTAGTTCCTCTATTTCCTCGTGATATATGACTCAGAAGTAATGTTTTTTAGAAGACCATTTCACATGTCTCGCTGTTCTTACAAGTGAACGAATAGCTCGGGAGATTGGCATGCGTTTCGAGGGCGACATGATTTTGTATAGCCTTGACGGTACTTTTCTCTTTCAATTCCATTGAGCAGCCGGGCGAAGCGTTTTGAATTCCAGGCGCGTCAGCTTGGCGGTTTTAATCCAGCTATTAAGGACAGTGTCCGAAGTGGAAGTTCAAAGTATTTATTTAAATCGTCCCCCAGAGCCACAGAAAATGTTTTGGCGCATTCCACAAGCGAACTGTCTATTTGCCCCTCCCCCCCTGTCACTGAATAGGGCTTGTCGTCAGTTGGAGATCTCTAGCGGGAAAGGTCATATATAGTCGGTAGAGGGAGGTCGTACTTCCCATTGAGAAAATGTTTTCATTTGTTTGACTTTTCCTCTTTTTTCGCTTGTTATCCTTTTTCAAGCACCTCCTTCCTCCCCGCTCAATGGCTCTTTTTTGGAAGCATAGGAGGGAAAGGAGGCATTTAAAAGAAAACTGCAGAAAAGTGGTATGAAATAGGAAGGGACACTAGAGGGGGGACTGTTGAGGCGATGGTCTTATTTTAGGCTACGTTCACACCTTGCGATGTCGTTGCCGACGTCGACGTAACCGACTTAATGAGCGACTGTGCTGCGTAGATGGGATACGTATTGATCCGACGTGACGGACGTATAGGGCGTAGTTGACGTAACCGACGTAATCGGCAACAACCCCCAGAGGAAGGGTACCTATCGATCCGACGTAATCGCCGTGACCACCGTAACCGACGTAAGCGATGTAACCGACGTAATCGACGTAATGAGCGACTAAAAGCTATATATGGCGTCGAAAACGTCGGTTACGTCAGTTACGTCGTATCGATACGTCTCTACAGGGGAGGGAGCAATTGAAAAAGATGCTTTACTTCCTCAGCTTTCAGGGCGATGTAAGTTACACTTAATTAAATTTTGATTGGACATTTCCACCATCATATTCAACAACACATTGTACACTATCACGATACTCCGCCACAGCTTCTAGACGAGCGCCATCGAGAGATTCTGCCACGCGACGTTATTCGGTACCTGAGTTCAACAAGGTCAACCGCCTTGTTGAGCTCCGCCCAAATCCGGTAATTGAGGGGGTTTGGGTCAGGTGTCATACTTGGATATTCCGTCTTCTTCAGGTACTCAATACCCTTCCCTTCCGAGTAGGGTAGGGTTTTCCGACGTCTTTCGATTCCATGTGTTAGCACCCAATCCTGTAGCAGTACAAAGTTTCCAAGAGGTACAGGCGACGACATGAAGCAGGATATTCTCCTCGAGTTGGTCGATGTAACCGTCAGCGTTCACCTTCAGTCCGGGGTCCACGAAGAAAATATCGGTCTTTCCATTCCAGGTACTTCCGGTCCATACCATCAACCCGCGCCTTGGCGACTGTGAAGATGATGTCCTAGACCGTGGCGACGTTGTCGGAGCTGCTCGATGTTGGAGGTCTTCCAGATCGAGAGTACTGGTCTCCAGGTAGCTATCCATGGGTGACTCCTAGAAGTTTCGCAGCTGTTTGGAGGTGACATGAATTCCAAAGGTTCTCCAGTCAGGCTGCGACTGGAGATGACTTCATATTTTGGGTACATAAG